TACTCAGGGGATCCTCTGAACTCTGGTCCTGCCCTGCAGCTTGAGCTATTTTTGCACAGCTCTGTGTTGTGTGGCTTTTCAATGGCTCCATAAGCAGCAGGCTTTCTGCGGTGATTTTTTTTTCCATCTCACGCTATGTCCCCTCCTTGTCTCCCCTCCCCTGTCTCCGAGGGTCCATCTCTCTGGGTCTCTTCTTGTCTCTCCTCACCTCCTCCCGACCTTTCTGCCTTTCGTCATCTCTGAGGGCCTGACTCTGCAGGCTGAGGCTGGCCGCGTGGAGCTCGAGCTCTCCATGACCAAGCTGAGGGCAGAGGAGGCCTCCCTGCAGGACTCCCTGTCCAAGCTGAGCGCCCTCAACGAGAGCCTTGCTCAGGACAAGCTGGATCTGAACCGCCTTGTTGCCCAGGTACGCTGTGCACCTGTGGGCCCACCTGCCTTGCCCAGTGTCAGTGAGGCACCCCGGGCCCAGCCCTGTACCTGTCTTGACCCGTGCCTCCCTTTCTGTCTCTGGTTCTCTGTCTGTCTCCGTCTGTCTGTCTATCCTCTCTCGGTGTCAGAGCACAGAAGCTCCATGGGCCCTCATCTCCCCCTCCCCAGTGTCCCACACACCTAAGGGCACTGCCCCTCATTCCCTGGGAGCCTCCCCTGGGATATTGTGGCTGGTGGGTGGGTGGATGAGGCCTCCTGGTCCTGGGAGGAATGCCCTGCTTATGAGGCCCCACTCGTACCCGGCCCACAGCTGGAGGAAGACAAAGCCGCCCTGCAGGGTGTGTGTGTGTGTGTGTGAGACAGAGTCTTGCTCTGTTGCCCAGGCTGGAGTGCAGTGGCACGATCTGGGCTCACTACAACTCTGCCTCCATGGTTTAAGCTGTTTTCCTGCCTCAGCGTCCCAAGTAGTGGGGACTACAGGCGTGCACCACCATGTCCGGCTAATTTTTGCATTTTTAGCAGAGACAGGGTTTCACCACATTGGCCAGGCTGGTCTTGAACTCCTGACCTCAAGTGATCCACCTGCCAAAGTGCTGGGATTATAGGCGTGCGCCACTGTGCCCGGCCGGGCCCTCGTTTTTGTACACATGTGCATTGCAGATCTAGAGAAGGTCATGACTTGCCCAAGTACATATAGCACATGAGGGCAGACCCTGGGCTTGAACCCAGGCCTTCTGCCAGGACTAGGTTAGGCCCCAAGTTGGGGTGCTGCATGATGAACAAGCTGGGGGATGCTGGGAGTGCTGCTCAGTCTCTGGGTGGGGGCCAGCTCTCCCGGCAGCTGAGTGGGCGGGAGCAGGAGCTGGAGCAGGCCCAGCGGGAGGCCCAGCGTAAAGGGTCCATGGATCTCTCTATATTATTTCTTACAACTGCACTTGAATCTGTAATTATCTTAATTGGAGAGCTATGGGAAGTGGGATTTGGCTGCAGGGAGATGGTTCCCCCACCCCCTGAGCCTGGGTAAGGGCTGGGGGCTCCCTGGGAATGCTGCAGGGTGGCAGTGGTTCCCAAGGGGGCTGCTCAGGATTGCAAACGTTCCACCACCTTTATGCCACCGTAAATGATTCAGGTAAATTGCTCTGGCCTGTGGGAGGAAGCAGCCCTGGCAGAGGCCTTCAGTGGCAGGTTCGCAGAGACAGGGGAGGCTGTGTGGGGCCCGTTAAGGTTCCAGGTCCCTTAAGGTGCAGGAGATAGGGGGCCATGGACTCATTAGAGAAGGCGGGGTGGGTGCCTGGGGATGGAGGGGTCAGCTACGGCAGGACCTTGCCCGTAAGGGCTGTGGCTACCCCACCAGAGGCACCGGAGGCTCCTGCCCACTGAGTGTCCATGGAAATACCCTCCAAGGCAGTTCGCTGAGTGAGGGGAGGGAAAGCGTGGGTAATGGAAGGACACCTGCCTGCCTTCATTGGCCTCCTTAGTTCCAGGTAGCACCTGGTCTGTCATGTACTCTGATGTCCCTGGGGGTCCCTTGTGTGAGCTGACCTTTCTGGGGTGTTTCCTAGAGGCCCAGAACAGACCAGAGGGTTAGGGGTCCTCGTTCAGCCCAGGGAGTTTTGAGGCAAGCATCTTACCTCCCATGGTCTTCCTGGCATTCTCCAGTTTGCAGAGGGCTGAACCCTGGGCATTTCACATCCAAAGGTGGAGTGACGTCTCAGGGGTCCTGTGTGCACAGAGCCCGGCCCAGAGACTCACAGTCGGTTACAGGATTTGATGCTGACACTAGGATGGTGTTTTGCTGACACAGGAATGCAGGCTCAGGAGCTGGTGTGAAGGTCCTTCTACTGGTGCCTGCTACTTGGGCATCCAGAACTAAAGCACTGAGTCCTTCTTTGTTTCAGGAACTTCCTTGATTTAACTTTTCTGATTGGTGGGTGCTTCTAATTGGAGAACCTTCCAGAAAGCACCGCCTTTGAGAAGTGGCTGGGTGGCCAAAGGCCTGCCAATATTCCCACCTGCCTTCCTCTACTCTGCGATTCTGACTATAAAATTCCCCTGAAGAAACCTTCGTCAGGTCTGATGCAGGCAGAGTATGTAGGGAGGTGTTGGGAGTGGGGGCTGAGAGTGGTAGAAGCTTCATCGCAGAGACAAGAGAAGAGACAGCTGAGTGACAGACAGTGAGTCAAGAGAGCTCAGCAGATGCCAGACCTGGAGCAGATGAGAGTAGGATGGCAGAGGCCCCAGGGCTTGCAGAAATCATAGGGAAGGCACAGGTCACCCCACAGGCACGAGCGAGGGTGCTGGAATTCATTTTTACCAAACCTTACACCTGGCTTTCCTGTGAATCTCAGGGGCTACAGAGCAGCAGGCACACTGCTGGTGGGGGAGGCACGTCTGTGCAGAGGTCCACTGTGGTCTTCAGCCCAGAGCACGGACATCCCAACCAGGGCTGCAGGGTGAGCACTCGAGTTTGGGGCCCAGATGGTGGGCTGGCCTGATGGAACAGGCAAGAACTGAGGAGACTCTCACCGCTACTGGAGGACCAGACTGATGGGAGACAGAAGCGGTGCATGGACTGATGGGAGACAGAAACTGCGCATGGACTGACGGGAGACAGAAGCTGCGCATGGACTGATGGGAGACAGAAGCTGTGCATGGGCCACCACCCCTTCAGGGGCACAGTTGCCACTGGCATGCCTGAGAGTTTGTTTTCAAAAGAATGTCTTTCAGAATTTGTGATGAAGAACCCAAAAGCAAATGTGACAAAATAAAAAATAGACAAATGGGACTTCTGCACAGTGAAAGAAACTATTAAAACATGAACAGAGTAAACAGACAGCCTGCAGAAGGGGAGAAAATATTTGCAAACTGCGTCTGACAAAGGTCTGATTTCCAGAATCTATAAGGAACTTAAACAATTCAGCAAGCAAAAAAACCAAATAATCCCATTGAAAAGTGGGCAAAGGACATGAACAGACACTTCTCAAAAGAAGACATAAAGTTGGCCAACAAACGCATGAGAAAATGCTCAACATCACTAATCATTAGAGACGTGCAAATCAAAACCACAATGAGACAGCATCTCAAGCCAGTCAGAATGGCAATTATTAAAAAGTAAAAAAATAACAGATGTTGTTGAGGCTTTGGAGAAAAGAAAATGCTTATCCATTGTTAGTGGGAATGCAAATGAGATCGTCCCCTGTGGAAAGCAGTTTGGAGATTTCTCAAAGAACAAAAAACAGAATTATCATTGGACCCAGCAATCCCATCACTGGGTATATACCCAAAAGAAAATAAATGTCCTACCAAAAAGACACCTGCACTCAAATGTTTGTTGAACCACTATTCACAATAGCAAAGACATGGAATCAATCCAAGTGCCCATCAGCAGTGTATTGGATAAAGAATATGGGGTACATATACACCATGGAATACTACACAGCCATAAAAAGTGAAATTGTGGCCTTTGCAGCAACATGAATGCATTTGGAATCCATTATCCTAAGCTAATTAATGCAGAAACAGAAAACCAAACATCACATGTGCCCACCCATAATGGGGAGCTACACAGTGGGTATACACAGACACTGGGGGGTTACTAGACAGGGGAGGGAAGGGGGCAAGGGCTGAAAAACTACCTATCAGGTTCTATGTTCACCACCTGGGTGGTGGGATCGTTAGAAGGCCAAACCTCAGCATCACGCAATATACTCATGTAAAAAACCTGCATAGGTATCCCCTGAATCCAAACAAAAACCCAGTCTTTCTCTTTCCAAAACCCCAAAGCAAACTTATCAAAAAAACTTTCCAAGGAAAACACAATCCCTAGACAAACAGCTATATTTTCAGCAGAGCAGATGCCAGCCGGGAAGACACAGAGCTAGTTGCCTTCAACACCGACAGCCAGCCCCAGGCTGCTCAGAAAAGGCCACTGGGCAAGGAGAGGCGGGGACCTGGACCTTTGGGTCCCATTGGCCTCTCTGTCAGAGGCTTTGCCCCTGGCCCTGGCTTCCGAGAGGCTGTTTTCCTGGAGAAGGCCACAGCGGTTCTTCTCAGAAATGTTCTCCCTTTAATGATTCAGCACGCATGCTGAGCGGGGTGCCGGTGGCATGAGTGAGATTGGACATGGCAAACCTTTAATGCCAGCGGGAAAGCTTCATAAAGTGACATTCGGCCTGAGCTGCAGCCTCTGCAGCTTAATGGTGCACCTCGAGGTGGCTGCTGGTGACCCCATTTGTTCGGCAGCAGGCAGGCCAACCGTCCGGACCCTCTTCTGGTTGGGGTGGGCCACTGAGATGTCATAGATTGGAGGCATCTGGGGGCCCTGGCTCTTTGAGGGGCACTCTGGGGTGGGTTGTGCCCTTGCCATCAGCCTCAGGGAAAAGAG